GCAGGAATCTCCTCCTTGGGTTTGAAGTCTGGTGGGATATTTAAGGAGGGCTCATCTACTACAGGCTCTTTTGGCTCTTGCTTCAAGGAATGAGAATATTCCACACACCGTACTACATTTTCATCTGAAGACCTGCGATCCTTCTCTGGAGGTGAAAGTGGCGACATTTCTTTTGGCCTGTGCTTTCTTTCCTTGGAACGTGATCTAGACCGTGGTAGTCTTTCCTTAGATTTGGTGCTTTTGTGCTCCCTGGACCGTGATGCAGACCGTGATCTAGACCTCCATTTTCTCCTCTCCCGGGACCGGGACCTTGATCTTTTCCTTTCCCTTGACCTTGAGCTGCCATCTCTTTTATCATATCTCTCGTAGCTTTTGTCTTGCCTGTGTTTCCGTCTCTTTGTCCTCTCAATGCTATTGGATCGGGAACGTTTTCTTTCTCTTGATCGAGAGCCAGAGCGCCTTTTCTTCTTCCTGCTCTCATAAAACTCAGAAGAACTGCCAGGACTCCCCGATCGTGACCTGGATTTCTTTCTGTCCTTGGACCAGGATGCTTTTGCTTTTTTGTCTTTTGTTTTATCTTTTGCCTTCTTCTTTTTCAACCGCTCATGGCTGCTGGAACGGTCACTAGATGATCTCTTGCTCTTGGATTTTAACTTATGCATTTTGCTGCAGTCCTCCTCAGCAGACCAGGACGCAGACCTGGAGCTTCTTTCCCTGGAGCGCGTTCTCGATCGGGACCGTGACCGGGATTTCTTGTGTTCTTTGAGCAGCGCCTTCTTTTTTTTCAATTTCTTCCGGCTCCGAGAGCTAGAGTTGGACCGGGATCGAGATCGAGAACGTGACACTCTCTCCACTTGTTCTCTTCTATTGATTTTTTTCTGCCCTTCATTACACAAGGGGCTGCCTGGCTCCAGCTTTACAGTAGGTCTAACTAGGTCTTCTGCATCAAAGAACACACTTGGACCTTCTCTACTCTCTTCTTTTAAATGCCCCAAGTTAGAAGTTTGCTTGAGTGCTGATGAAGTACAGGGGCTGCTTAGAGAATCCTCCTCATCCATTTTCTCTTGTTCTTCAGCATCAGAGATCTGTTCCACAATCCTGCCCTCTACTGTCATATCATCATGTGACTCTGCATTACTTGACAGTACATCAGACTCAGTACCAGACCCAAATATATTTTCCATGGTGTAAGGGGTAAAACGACGCACAGTTTGAAATGTCTGAACTTCAGGACATTCTACTGAAATGGTCCTGGTGATGTTAGTTAGTGGCATCCCTGGGCTAAGACGTTCAGGACTGCTGTTAGCTGAGCTTGAATCTGAGCCTGTTGGATCAAAGGGATCATATATTTCACTTTTGATCTGCTTTGTTTTTTTAATTGAAAAGAGAGGTGATGGGTTCTCTTTCTGCTGCACTTTGTCATCGACAGGGCGGAAAGTGTTACAAAATCCAGGACTGGACAGCCTGCCAGGATGCCCTGCATTTCCAGGGATATTAATCTTGAAGCTCTCAAAAGAAGAGCTTGCACTTTTCCCCCCTGATGTCCCAGACAGTGCTGAGCTACTATAGACACCTCTACTTGTGGAAAAAGAGCTTCCCCCTGTATATGTCTGTTGAGATTCCTTGACATTTGACTTGTGGCTTTCTACCTTGTTACCTCTTCCTGGCTGATTAGTGCTCCCTTTGCCAGTCAACTGGGTTATACAGGAGTTAGGGATGTCACAGTTTGGGTTTGCTGTAGGTTCTGGTTCCAAATGTCCACTGCTAGCTTCCTTTTTAATCTTTGGTATCCTGGGAAGCTCAGAGATATCAATTCTCTTGGAAGGTGGTTTTAACAGTTGCCTTGCAACTACATTCTTGGAACCCAAATTAGAGTTACCGCTAAAGGGCTTAGAAGATATGGAGGAGCAACAGGGCACCAAACGTTTTGAGTCCCCATTAAGTCTAGACATGTCATCTGTTTTTGAACCGTATCTGTTCAACTTTGCCATGTTGTGAGTCTGAACTGACCGGGGTGTCATTGGAAAGCCTAATCTAACAGCTGCCCTTTGTGATGCAGTCTGCACAGGGTTTGCTGCTGGCTCAAATCTGCTCGAGGAGGAGGATGAAAATGAACTGAATGAAGTGGGTCTGGTATGAGGATTAAGCCCCAATGGAATTGAAGATTCTGCATTGGAGCTGCTTGCTGTGGTCCCTGAGTGCAACATACTTGGTTGGAGATTTTCCCCTGATTCAGTTTCCACTCTTGAGTCACTCACTGAGTTTCCCTGTAATGGGGGAGCTGAGAAATAAGAGAAAAATTAATTTTTCAATATTTTCTCAGATCCAGGTCCACAGAGGGGCCATACACAGCCCATCAGCCACATAACATAAGGATTCATTATCCTTTGGTCATAGATTGTGCATGTGATCAACAATACTTGGTGAATTAAAAGGTAATTGGCTATGAGAATTGCATCTAAGATTTCAATTTGAACAGCTAATTTTCCAAAACTCAGACCAATTCAGTCACGACAGTACAGCCGAATGTACCAACTTAATACTTAGTCAAATAAATATTTCTTGTAAATGAAGCCTCTTCCTAAGCTCCTCATTGCTGCAGTCTCAGCTGTTAGCTCAAAGTGTGTAAAACAAACAATATGATGAGCAAAGAAAACTACTGTTTTGAAGATTAATAGCTTTATCCAATTCACCATGCCTGGCAGAAACAGAAAAAATGCGATGGTGCTACACTCATACAGATTGCAAAAAAAAAGAGAAGATCAAAACTGTCTCCTGTTAAACCAACCCCTTCACTCTCCTTGAGACTGTACAATTAAGAGAGGCAAAAAACGCTCATTCAGGAAGTGTGTCAAAAGCTTAATATCCGACTCGAGTTCATGCTTACTGTGCCCTAACCCTGCAAACCATTATGCAAATACTAAACAGGATACTCACCTGCCTTCTTTGCTGTTAGTGAGCCATCTCTGTTGATGACCACATCAGAACTACTCATCATGAGGAGGCTCTGGCCAGACAATATACTTCCTAACAGGTCAGGGACAGGGGCTGCTTCTGCTTCGGCTTCTGGATCAGGGCCCAAGGCAGGAACGCTGCTCCTGCATGTTTAAGAAAGGCAATATTTTCTTTACTTTTGCAGTGAGCTTGAGCTAGTCAAACAAATTACATTGAAATGAAAGCAACTATCAGGGATATGATGAAAAATTATGTAAGTTTGCTTACTGGCCTCATCTCAAAAAGTCATTCATCTCTGCCTGCATTGGCTGAGAAGTTGGTCAAAGTTCCTACTCCCTGAACCGCAGCATGCTTATAAGCTCGGCAGCGCTACGCTGGCTAGCACTACGGACGAAAGGGACTTGTGGGTCATGACTGTCTACAAAATGAACATGAGCCCTCAATGTGATGCTGCAGCTAGTAAAGTGAGCAAAACGCTGGCTTGCATCCATAGATGCTTCTCAAGCAAATCCCAGCACGTCATTCTCTCGCTGTACTCAGCCTTGGTGAGGCCACACCTGGAGCACTGCATCCAGTTTTGGGCTCCACAATTCAAAAAGGATGTGGAGAAGCTTGAGTGAGTCCAGAGGAGAGCCACGTGCATGACCAGAGGTCAGGAAAACAGACCTTATGATGAGAGTCTGAGAGCCATGGGACTCTTCAGCCTGGAAAAGTGCAGGCTCAGGGGTGATCTGGTGGCCACCTATAAGTTTATCAGGGGTGCTCATCAGGATCTGGGGGAACATCTGTTCACCAGAGCACCCCAAGGGATGACAAGATCGAACAGTCACAAACTCCTCCACAACCGTTTCAGGCTAGACATAAGGAAGAACTTCTTTACTGTCCGAGCCCCCAAGGTTTGGAATAGACTGCCGCTGGACGTGGTTCAAGCATCTACTTCGAACACCTTCAAGAGACATTTGGATGTTTATCTTGCTGGGATCCTATGACCCCTGCTGACTTCCTGCCTCTGGGGCAGGGGGCTGGACTTGATGATCTTCTGAGGTCCCTTCCAGCCCTAATGTCTATGAAACCATTACCCAAGGATAGCAAAGCAAACGATAATATCCGTTACCTATGTGTTTTGGGAATGCCATTGAGCACAAGATCAGAAGCTGAAGCCAAATAGCTTCAGCTACCACACTGGGAAACAAAAATACTACTTGAGAGCAATATTTTTAATTACCAAATTATACAAATTAAGACTTTAAAAAAAAAAAGGTGTGACATCCTTCAGGAGTTCATTCCAAGCCTATTCCAGCAGCCTTGCCAGTTTACTCCTCAGCAGTCAAACCAACTCAATGAATTCTCCCAATGTTACATCATGATTTATAAGCACCTACTGTTATGGCATTTAAGCCTGTGATAAATAAGACATTAAACCCAAGTCATATTAATGGGTACAACATGAAATAGCCCAAAATAACCCCCTCTTTGTACTACCTAATCATAAGGGAAACTACTCACCTGTAATTTGGCTGATATGAAGACATGATTTTACTGGATTTCTACTCTCAGGGCTTAATTTCTAGACTTTCTATAACTTTTAAAGCTATTCTTTTTTGGCCCTCTGAGGGACCAGTACAGCTGTCTGAATAAAACACCAGTACACCTCAGTGCCTTTTGGGGTGCCACATTTCAGTTGCTGATTGGCACACGAGCAAAAGCACACTGACTTTTGAAACATTTTAGACAGCATAAAAGTGTTTGCTTCCCATTTCCAGCCAGAAGTAGTCTAAAAGACACTGTCAGAGCAGTTGTATTAAACCTAAGTAATATTACCTGCTGCACAAGAAGCTACCCAAAGATATTACACTACATCAGGTGGACATCCTAAACCTCTTCCTTCAAACTAGAGGTTGAAAGGTAAAGAAAAAAATAGACTGACTGCCAAGTAGTATGACCACATTATTCCTTAGGTGCAAGGCTTGCACTGCAAACTAAATAAATTAAACAACACATCCATTGAAACCTTTCCTACTCCCTCAGTCAGCAAGGGTGAGGACAGACACAAAGTTTCAATCAGCTTCCAAATGCTTCTACCATACAGATGTACCCCTGGGGTAAAATACTCCCAAACATGACAAAAACGTATCTGCAGGAAGCAGATCCTAATTTGTATTGTTTTGTCCCACCTCACATCTGTATGAGTCCCTTGTTGCTGCAGCACCCCACAATGCGGTGTTGGAAATGGCCCGTTTTTTTAAATGCATCCAGCTCTTGCAACACACTCAGCTCTTACTTTCTCCTCTCTCTAAGCAGTTCTGTTTGTTTCTCCCCTTTCCCTCTTTGCTCACGTTCCAGCACCTTTTCCCTGACCCCTACCCATTTCTTCTGCTTTAACTCTGCCCCCACGAGACGGGGGACCCCCTGCTCTTGCTGCTTCCTTGGCAGCCAGCTCCGCTCTCAACTGCAACAGAATCTCCCAGTTCCAACATTCTTCCCCTGCTTAACCTGGGCCGGGGGCCTCACCTGCACTAGCCCACTGCTTGCCTGCAAAGGAAGAAGAGTGGCTCATGTGGAGTAATATTTATTCAACAGATTGACCAGTACTTCTAGCTAGAGGTTGCAGTAACCACTCTTCCATTAGTTTCCCTTTAAACTGTTCGAAACAGCAGGAGAAATAAAAACAAGGTAATTTATATTCAACTGATTTACTACTGGAAAGGAAAGAAGGATATTCATAGATTTCATAGACATTAGGGCTGGAAGGGACCTCGGAAGATCGAGTCCAGCCCCCTGCCCAAAGGGCAGGAAGTCAGCTGGGGTCATAGGATCCCAGCAAGATAAGCATCCAGTTTGCTCTTGAAGGTGTTCAATGTAGGCACTTGAACTACCTCCGGTGGCAGGCTGTTCCAGACCTTGGGGGCTCGGACAGTAAAGAAATTCTTCCTTAAAGAAGATATGCAAGGAAACTACTGTCAGTTTTCTTGCATAGCCATATACAATTAGTTGTGCCCTATTATGCAAAGCCAATTCTGGGTGCACACATTCCTACAGTGCAATAATGAGGAATAACTAGCTAGTCTTTTTTTTTTTTTTTTTAGACAGTAAACCACTTCAGACTCACATTTTACTTAAATTAGACTAAAGGTTGTTCACTGCTCTCAATTATTTAAATTATAATTTGAATTTCAGCCTCCACAAGAGAAAGCTGGGGGGGGGGAAATCTAGTGGCCGTCTACAAACTGGCCAAGGGGGACCAGCAGGCTACGGGAGAGTCCCTGTTCCCCCAAGCACTACCGGGAGTAACAAGGAATAACGGCCATAAGTTGACTGAGAGTAGATTCAGGGTAGATATCAGGAAGCACTACTTCGCAGTTAGGGTGGCTAGGATCTGGAACCAACTTCCAAGGGCAGTGGTGCTCACTCCTACCCTGGAGGTCTTCAAAAGGAGGCTAGATAGACACCTAGCCGGGGTCATTTGACCCCAGCATTTTCCTGCCCATGGCGGGGGGTCAGACCAGATGATCTACTTAGGTCCCTTCTGACCCTACCAACTATGAAACTTTGTATAAATGCTCAGGTCAGGATGGGAAGGGATGGATGACTCCCCGACTTGGAATTGCAGGATCACTAGATGAAGAACAAGCTTTATGATGCAAAAAAATGGGATACTTATTAAAATAAAGGCAGCCACAAGAATACAAGGTTCAAAGCACAAAGTTAATTATGTGAAGTGACTTAAAGTGCACGTATCTCAACTTCACTATAGTGAACAAAGGATAAAATACACTCCAATTATTTAACAACAACTTCCTTTATCTTCAAGGCTGTATCTAAAAACATTAAAAAGAAAATAAAGTCATTTGGTAGGTTTTACCTGGAAAGTCCTACAGAAATGGGTCTAGCAACTGGCCGATGAGACCTTAATGCTGACTGAGAAAGAACTCTCCTTTTGGCGCTCACAGGTGAAACTGGGTTTGCTGGAATCTCTTCATTACTAAAGAAGCAAACAGAAGTAACACACATCCACTGCTGTTAAAATAGCAAAGATTACTAGAACTGGAAGACTGGGCAAGGCAGAGGAGGAAAAGAAACACTTTTCTCCTTTCTTGGCTGACTTTTTACATAACAAAACCTTAGGTGAAGTCTATTTCCTTTGTTAGCATGGGCCTTTCAGACCATAACAAGACAGACATACATGTTAAAATGTAGGTAAATATGACAACGCTACAGAAGCAAACAGGTGATTTTAAGGATAGAACTATATGAAAGTAGTTTTAAAAATCTTGTTCAAAACGTATTAAGATTTCAAACAGAGAACATGCATTTAACGGGCAGTGCTAAAATATGCCCTTTCAATTTAAAATTAAAATTTAAAAGGTGGTATCAGGGATTGATCCATCAAATAAGTGAACCAGAAGTGCTTGTAAAAAATATGATCCTGTCTCCAAACATCTACCTTTCTGGAATATTTAATTTTCAAGACACCCAGATATTTCACATTACAGTATTGCAACAGTATAAAATAAAACTGGAAGTTAGTCAGTCCTGGGTCCAAAACCATAGATCTAACCTGTCATATGAATCCAGTTCATAAGGATCTCCAAACACAGACAGAGAAGCTGCGCCAATATCTGCTCTCATAAAGCCAAGTGAAGGTTCTGTAGGTTTGTACACAGAGGGGATTGAAGCTCCACGCACAGGTTTACCAAGACCAAGAGCTCTTGCAATTCGGGATCGAGCAGTAACTTCATTTTTCACCTGGATGAATAAAGATCACAAGGTGCTGGCAACAGTGCACTGGAAGACAAGCTTTTAGCAACATCAGAATTGGCTGCATGTGCCATACACAAGAGCTCTTTGTGTGTAAACACTAAAAAGAAGGGAAGAGATACAATATCCTGTGCTAACAGGCTGTGGATATTTAGAAAAAATTATTTTCCTTTATTTTTAGTTTATTCTGCAGAATGACCTAGCCAAGAAAGCAAGAGACTCAAGGCCCTCATTTGCATGTGTGCTGGCTGCATTACTAGACCTCATTTCTCTCATTAATTAACTCTAATAAGAACTGCAGTATTCACCATTTATTTCTTGTACAGAACTCCGTATTTGAAATAGCACGTGCTCATTTTACATTTCTGTTCCAATACATTTAACTGAACATGCAATTCACGCTTCTAGTACAGTGGTACTCAACTTTTCGGCCCTTTTGGCACAAGTAGCACAGGGACCATTTGTGGGCCGTATTGGGCCTGGGGGCCCAGCACCAACTCCTCCCTGCCCGGAGCCCAGTGCAGCCCACACTCCCACCCCAGGATTGGGCCCCAGGGACGCACCCACAGCCCCCTCCATTCCCTGCTTGCTGGGATCAGGCACCCCATCTAGCACACAGGGCCAGGGCTCCCTGTGAGTCTGGAGATTTGGCAACAAGGGAACAGTGGTACTGCTCCCCTGCCACCAAATTTCCAGACTTGTGGAGAGCCCCATGGGCACATCACATGGTACCGTGGGCCAGATCTGGCCTGTGGACAGGAGTTTGAACACTCCGTTCTAGTATATGAACTTTCATTGGCTGATATTGCACATTTCATTCAAATGACAAATTAGTTTCGTTACAGTATTTTAGAAACAACGCAAGGTTCTTTCATTCAAAAGGGATACTATTAACCCCTTCATGAGCCATGCTTAAGACTGTCAAAGGAGAGTTGTGACTACAGGGAGTAATTGTCACAGCAGCTGGCAACAGCTGTGCTGCAGCGTGTGCAACGTGGTAGAGTCCATGTCAGAACCCTGTCCATAGCTGAACCATATCTGAAGAGTCATTTTGAGAACATGAAATGCTGATCAGTCAACTTATCTTGCAACCACAAACAACAAATTATTGCTTACCCAGACAGTTAGGGTGACAGCTAAGTGAACACAGGGTCACTAAAAACTATAGTTCAGATTTCACACTGCACTCTTGCCAATAAAGAGTTCAGCTTATGGCATAAACCACGCAGTTTGGTTCGCAGGGTTTGTCAGCAGGCCGAGCACATCCGTTTAGAGGTCAGACTTCAGAAAGACCAGAGACACTCTTATGGACTACACTGTGCATGCTACACAAGCTTCCACTCAATTGTTTCCTGTCATTTTAGCCCCTTATTTTTCTTTAGAATGTGGATCAGTTTATGCCCCTCTTGCAGAATTATATCACTTTAAACATGGCGCTTTAAATGGTAAGACATTTTTAGACCGGGAGAAACTAACATGCGGTCTTACTCTTATCTTCCTCCCCTTTCTCCTCTTCATTCGATGCTTGCGTCTTTTGACACGTGTTCCTGAACTCTTTTTTCCACCAGAAGATTTTGTCTGTGTTCTTTTCTTGCCGCCTACTTTCTTCCTTCTACCTGAGGAGTCAAGCACAACCAAGCATTTGATACAGTATTAGCAATGAATCTTTCCACCCACTTCCCACCATTTCACAGAAACACAAATGTGTTCAGAAAAGAAAAAAAAACCTGCCACATGCTGCAATGGATGCCAACTAGAATTAAATAAAGTAGCAGAGGGAGAAAAGTCAAAAGAGTTCAGTTTCAAGTGTCATTCATTTCTGTTCTAACAGAAATTCTCTTTAATAACTGGAGAGTGACTTATGCATGTAGCACCATGTGGGTGCTCAAATGTCTTTGCCCTACAGTAATTAGTCCATCTCCTGCTTGGTTAGCTCAAGCCTTTAAATTTATGCAGGCTGGGAATCCTAGTTAAGTTCCAATCTTCTTACCTGTCTTCCTTTTCTGTTTGGTTGGGCCCCGTGGTGTCAGAGGTCGCTGGTATACCGTGTTTAACCCAGCTACAACTGCATCGATCGTTTCATCAAGGAGAGAAGACATGAGGTACCTTGGCACATGCTGTATGGACAAAAGAAATTATGCATTACATGCACTTTAAATCAGCAGCAAGTGTTCAAGAAAGTGACTGTATTTATTTAAGATGAGATTCAGAATTTGGAACCAAAACTCCCTTTTCCCTCCCACCATGATAAGCTGGGCTTTCAACAAGCAGTTAACCAGTATCACCAGTATCGTGTCACCAGCAAACACAGTAACTCAACAGAAGTTGCTTTTGCTTTTTTAAATCTCCACATCAGTATAACCAACCAGGGATGATCCTACTTTAATTATATTGATGTGAGAATCTCTCATCCACTTTCACCATGGTATCTCCCCAAACCTCACAACTACCCTTTGGCTTCCAAAGCCTGACTTGAACGACCAAAATGAAAGTGAAGCCTGGCAGCAGAGTGATCCAACATCTTAGCTTCCTAATTTTTCAAACTGCTTTTCCCTCACAAATGTGCCGAAAAGGATATATTACTTTACCTCCAGCAGAGGCATTTTAACACCAGCATTCTGGAGCTCAGAGTAAGGATGCGAGTAAGCCTCGTTTTTAGTGCGTCAATTACAATAAGTAGGAATGGTTCAAATCTCTCCTCCTGTCCACAGAGAGAGGCGTGGACTGAAACATACAGTTCCTAAATGTCCAAAGTTTGAATTGCCAAGTAGAGAAATTGCCTGAGAGGTCTTCTGATTGTCCAGAAATAGCACAACTGTCTTGTTTTCTTTTTGCAAAGGGGTAAACACAACACACTGTAACCAGCAGGGCTAAGTGCTGTGACTGCCTGGCAATACCAGCTAGTGAATCTCCCTGTCCCTTGCAACTCCAGCATTCAAGCAAGTATAAACATGGCATAAAAGGCTGTCATCAGAGCTTATTTAGAATAACTGATGACAACTCACTTCTTATAATTTACCACTTAATTATTTATAATATGGGTTAATGTATATATTAAAAAACAGATTTTGTAAGCCTCGTATAAACAGCACATACTTAACCAAAAAAATATTTTAAAGTGGTTTTGCCAATATAAAGTGAGCTTCCAAATGTGAATGATGTAAACCATAACCAGCAAGTATGACATGCTCCAATTCATCTTAGTGTGGGGTCAATACTAAAGCATAACAAAGCTACTTTAAATGGCAAAATCCACACAGTTTTCATAAAGGCATTTTTTAGAACAATTTTTTTTTTTTTTTTTTTTTTTTTTTTTTTAAGAGAAAGTGGGGGACACAGGGATATCTGAACACTGTAATATTTAACTATACAGCAATTTAGGTGCATCTCAAATAAGGCATGAATTACAAAAAGGCTCTTTCTTCAAATACTAGCATCTTGTGAGAATCTGGAATTGGCACCTTTCTCTATTTGCTGAGAGGCACTCAATGAGTGCTTCTCTTAGCTATTAGATTTAAACTCACATATTCTGATCAAATTAAAGGGGTCATAGTAAGAGATATGTTTTTCTTTAAGAAAAAAAATTGAGTACCTTCCTAAGGAGAGTTTGTAACCATCTCTGTAGACTGAGAAGTGGTGCTTGGGATGGCTTCTGGAATGGGAAGTACTTGGCACCAAGTCTTGTATTACTATGCAACAGCTAAGTCCCCGTGCACCACCTCTCTCCTCTGCAGGGAGACAGCTCTGAGAAACCTTCAGTCTCAAACCACCCTTTTCTATTAAGATTTTATTAAGCAGTCAGCACCTGAAGAGAGAGAGAGGGGACTACATTTACCAAATGCTTTCACCCTATATATCTCACAAATGCATCCAATGGTTAGTGGGAATTATTTCTAGTTTGTTCATCCTTTTTAAATTGGAGCACGGGGATTGAATATACAGAAGCAGAGGGCTGGCATTAAAAGACATGACCAACCTCTGGAAGAGGTTGCAACAGGATAATTAGTGGGGTGTTTGGGTTTTTTTCTTTTTGTTGTTGGTTTTTTTTTTTTAATAGAAGTGCTAAGTCATTCAGCCTAAGTCAGGGTAAACGCCTCACAAAAGCTGGAAGTTTGAACTTAATTAAAAAAAACCAATTAGGCTTGCTGTTATATTTCAGATAGGTTTAACTTTGCTAAAAGGTTCCTTTGGAATTGAAAATCAAGGTTCCTTTATTTTTTGTAAAGTCAGATTGTTTAAGTAGAAGTACAACTGAAAAATTCCGGAAGGACTGTAATTAATGGTCTGAAATATTTTTCAGTTCATGAGAAGTTAAGAGAAAGTCTTAGTCTTCGTTTATTCTTTTGTGTCCCTCACCCTCTTTGTTTTCTTGTGTCTAGTCTTTACTTTGTTTTTCCTTTTTCTTCCTCTCCAAGTATAGAGGTATACTTGGGTTTATAGGTATCAAAACTGATGCTTTTCAGGTCTTATCTGGATTTTGCTTTCCAACACTGATCTGATGCTATTACTCCAAGGTGAAAAATGAAAGCTCCATCCAACAGCAACTGTGCTAAACTCTGATTCAGCTTTTTCCTCAACCTGACCTCAGACTGACCAGACACTGGCACTCCCCCAGGGAAGAGCCTTGATACCAGCCCTAAGCAGACATCCATGGACCATGAAAAGAAACACTTATTTCTTTTCCTCTTTCTTTCCCCTGCTCTATGCTGGAACAAAGTCAGTTCCTTCAAAACAACATCACTGATATTTTTATCTATTGAAATAAAACTCGTTTTCTAACTTGCAATTTTCCCTGCACCTCTGGCAAATACAAAGGAAGTATCTTATATCTGGCTCTTGTTAAATTATGTCTGCAACCACTGATAAAAACTCTCTGACTTCTAACTACCAATTGGGGTATAAACATAACTAATAAATACTTGAAGACAGGGGCGGCTCAACCTTTTGGCCCTGCAGATCCACAGGCACAATCGAGCTCCGTGTGCCAGAATCGAACCCTGAGGCCCAGCACTCCCTGACCCAAGTGCCTAGAGCTGGGTCTGGGGCCTGGCATCACTCCCCCTCTGGCTGGGGTTGGTTTCCATGGGCCTAGTGCTGTCTCATCCCACAAGGACTGGGTCCCGGGGGCCTTTTACCGCCCCCTCCCACCCTAGCACACCAGGACGGGGTGCTGGGGTCTGGCATTATCCCCTCCTAGTCCCCAACCCTGCCTGGCCCTGCACTCCTACCACCAAATTTTCGGGCCCAGGGGGTGCTGCACAGGCCAGAGTTTAAGCACCCCTGCTCCAAAACATAACACGTTAGAGCATAAATCAAGAGTTTTAACATTTATGCAATGAAGGACAAAACCCACTGGTTAAAACCAGACCACAGACTATACAAAAGCTTCATCAGTTTTCAGGGCATTTGTATTCTTACATGAAGGAGCATAATTGTTCCATAGTAGTCTTCTAAAGGAAAAGCTACTATTACCTTGTGGAAGTTTTGCACCATGGACCAGAATCTTCTGGAGTTCAGAGTGATGAATTCAACTTAATTCAGTTTTAAAATGCTGATCTCCAGTGTGCACATTACTGCATTTTTCACATCAGCTTTGTATCTTAATGACTCAGTCACATACTGCAGAACAAGCTGTGTTTTTTCCTCGACTTACAAGACCTCAACCATTTAACCTTGGGCAATCAGAATTTAGCCACTAGCAAGTCGACATATCTTATAACTACAAGGTTTGTTTTAACTTCATGAAATTTTTCCAGAAATTTTCTTTTAAAAAACATAGGTTGTATTACTAGGCTAAAGGGGATGCTTTCCAGTACCTGAATTTGCTGTGCAGTTGTTATCCGATTTCTGTTCACTGTTGCCCTAACACGTTCACTCTGCCGAGTCCTGGCTATTGCTCGAGTGCGGACATGAGGACGTAGCCTACTGGTGGTAGGGATGACATCTGCCACAAGGGCCGCCACCTCTTCTTCACTCACGTGATCTGTATCTTAAAAAAAAAAAAAAAAAAGAAAAGAAAAGAAAAAGAGCCTCTAGGTCATGTGTCAGCATGGATTTATTCAACAGCTGAAAGCTATGCTGTAGAATCTAAAAATTAAGACAATCATTCTGGTTTCTGCACTTCAAACATGTATAGATCCTCACATCATAGCAAATAAAACCTTAGGCAGGGAGGGCCACACAGGGAGGACCAGACAGTTTTGCTTCAGACAGCTAAAGAAATAATGTGGATTTGCTGGGCAGCAGGAAGAGCTGCTTCCAATCTGGCATTAGATCGCTAGCAATGCAACACAAGGCTGTTTTGATTAGGCTGTTGTGCCAGGCCCAAACTGATAATAAGCTTTCTTAACAAAGGATTTCTGCGATTTGTAATCCCCGATTAAAAGCCTGATAGCATTCCTTTACTAGACATGGAGTCCAAAAGAGGATGCCCACCCCAATGAATCTGAAGAAGAGTCAAACTCAGACATTGCGCATCATCTTTATGTAGAAGAGCAGTATTGGGTGATCTGGGTCAGGCCAAAAATCCATCTTTATTAAACTACTTACCGGCACCAGCCGAGTCCCCATCAGCTGGTGCACAGGCTGGACAGAACCACTCATCCACAGGGACCGCGCCGAGAGGTGGATTAAGGCATTCCATGTGATATCTAAAATAGCAACGGACAATGCACTTCATATCAGCACTAAAAGAAAAGACCTCCATATTTTATTCCACCCAAGGAAAACTTAAGGCTGTTATCCCCTATGCAGACATGTTTAGTAATTCTCTAAGAATGACAGCTCTAAACTGCTGTTTGTGGACCTACACTGATCAGTTTCCAAAGCAGCACTGCTTCACAGTAATTGTACTAGAAACCTGGATGCCAGTAGGTTTTCCAGAAGTTCTTTTGACCACTTAAAGCTTCAAAATCAACTAGGGCACCTATGCACATGCTGGATGTCTGCTCCTACCCGTGCTAATTAGTATGGGTTGGAGCAGACTTGATTAATTGAGTCTGCCGGACCATGCTAATTAGCACACTCCAGTAGTTTCCATGGCACGTGAATTTAGCATCCCTGTGCTTCAAAATGGTGGTGGGAGCACTTTAACTCAAGCTTGTCAAACAAGCTTGAATTGAAGTGTCCCCACCACCATTTTGAAGTGCAGGACACTGAACACATGATGCTGCACGCACTTTGATTAGAGCAGCTCTTGAAGCCATTCTAATTAAAGCGCCCCACCCCTCCCCTCCATCCCGGAGCACATAAAAAGACACACCTAAAGTCTATTTCGCATGCCTACTTCATATTTGAGGGTTGGGGCCATGAGCCGAGGAGGGGGGCATCTAAACCCAGCTGCAACAAGACAGTGCCAAAATGAAAGTAGCAAAAATACAGGAGATTTGGGCCATGTGTAGAAGAAATGAGGGGCATGTGTACATGGCACTTTAAAGCAGGTTAAATGCTTTTGCACCACTTTAATGGCGTTGGTGTTTGCATGCGTTGGCGGTATATTGCGCAGTAATTCCAGCCGCTGTAGCAAATTCGGCAGCATAATGAACCTTAAATGACTTGGGGTGCAGCAAACTAAATCTCCTCCTAAGACTTGCTGCCCTACAGCCGTGGAGCGAAGCACCAGGCTCCGTGCAGCTCAGGGGTTGTGCAGGAAGCCTGTGCAGCAAGCTCAGCAGCAGCTTAGAAAGGCAGGCTCCACCCAAAAAAATGAAAAGCAGTGAGCCTGATCTTTTTCCCCCCCTGGAGTCTGCCTGAGCTGTGCAGGGGTCCAGTGCTTCCCCCCACGGCTGTGGTGTCCCCCAGGATTGCCCGAGCTGGGTGCCTGCGGGCAGGTGCTGCCAGGGGGTGGGGGGGCCCACTGCTGCTGCAGAGGGAAGCACCAGCTCCCCCGCAGCCCAGGGACCACTCCAACTGCCAGCACCTTGCCCTCCCCTCCCAACCACCAGAAAGGCAGGTAAGTTTGGGTGTGTCCACAACACAAGGGTTTAAAGGGCCCTAAAAATTGAAGCGGTGTTTTTAAAAACCCACCACTTCAATTTAGGACCCCTGTTTCATCTACACGCGCCCTAAGAATTCAAAGCATCCCAGAGAAATTGAAGGTGGTATAGAAACTAACTTGAAACAATGCTGATTCCAATGATTAAGAAAATCAGCACTAATAGAACCTTTACTGTCAGAGGCAAATTAAGGAGTGCATTGTAATTTTGATATACAAGCCTCACACCCCATATAAGATAAGTATTAGTTAAAGAAGAAGAATAGCTAATGGAGGCTTTTCACAGAAAAGGCATCTTGTATAATGGTATCAAGTACGATTCATTGCTTCATACACAAGGGTTCATTCATATAAACTGGACCAGGAGTCTGACCTAAATTTGCTGCTAGGGAGAGGTACTTCTATACAAGCAGAAATTTAAAAAGGGTTATTGCTGAAGGAGTATTACTGATATTTTTATCTTAAAAATGTGATCTGCCAAATGACTCAAATTGCTATATTAAATCGTCTGACCAGCATCAGTCAAAAGAAACTAAACTGTTAAACCTCTTTCATTAATTCAACTCCAGTTTCAGCAGTCTGTACAGGCAGGGTTCATGCTGTGAGATTCAGTTGTATATTCAGTTCAAAGATGGCTCTTCTCATACTACATGGCTACAAGAGTTAGAGTTAATCCATTTTTTAAAGGATTTCCCTGGTAAATGAATTACTCAACATAAAAGCAACGTGCTTGGATGAAGCTCTCTGCCTGAGGTTACGTACTGAATTAGTAGCCGTCAAGCACGGATTTCAGCCAACATAAACTTTCAAATTAGCAGTGTTTCTATGAATGATGCCCTCTGCTAGAACAGAAACCCCTCATGCAATCTACTGTTCAAGATACAGTACAATACACAGTTTTGGAATAAAGTAAAGCGAGAACAGCAGAGCTCTGTTCCCCTTCCTAACCAAGAGCCCACTGTCTGCTGTCAGGGTAGACTGGGTATATCATCACTCTGCAACTCCTGGATACTTGCCATGGAGTTGGAGGGAAAAGAAGGGCAAGTAGAGGAAAAGAATGCATCTGTGATACTACCCTCTCAGTTCTTTAGAAGTTGCAAAGGGGGTGGGATCTTTGCTATTCTAGACTTTTCCAGCTTTGCTCTGAAGTGGTATCTTTCAAAGCCTTTGACTGCTGAATCAGAAGTCCCCTACACTGAGTACTGAGAAATCTCTGTTTTCATCTCCTTGCAAAGCATCCTGGCTCCTGCAAAAGGTGATGCCATTTCTGCTGCTCTCTCTCTTCAAACCTTCTGGGGTCCTCTTACAGAAAAACAGCTTGAGAAACTGCCCCTCTCAGAGCTGTCTAACAGCAACAGAGCAGAACCAACTTGATTCTCATCAGTTCTTTCTCTGTACAGGGTTCTGAATGGTACCAGTGACAAATGATGAAACTGTACAGTAGAACTATTAAGACAGTGCAAAACTTGTGAATCTTGAGAGAAATTAACATCATGACTGCACCATCAGAGCAGTTAATATCTGTTATGACATTTAATAAGTTCAGCCACCTTGTACACACAAAAAATGATCATCTTGTGCTTCATTAATAAGAGTCCATAACTTAACAGCTTAGGTTTTTCACTCTCACATTAAAGGGTTGAAACTGAAAGAGTAAATGCCTGTTATTGGTACTGTAAAGACTGGCTATCTTGCTTTTTTCAAACTACAATGAAACAAAAATGAGAAACATACTGTTCCAGTTTCGTATGCCAGATGAAATCTTAGAAGCTAGTGGGGAAAACTGTAAGATTTGAAGGGAATGATTTTGTATTTTTGTAGTATTGTCCTATCAGACTCTGTAGGTAGGACAAAGTCTAAATAAATGGAAAGCACTTCAAGGGAAAAAAAAAAAAAGTCAGTGACCTGGAAAGGTCAGAATTTTAAGAGATTTATTTTGAGGAAAAACAAAACTAGCTTAGATTTGGCTAAATCCAGAGAAGAAAATGAAACAGAGGCTGAGGAAGATAACTTACCGAAGAACTTGAATGCAGAGAAGAATTTTCCTTATCAAACCATTTTTTTTGGTTACAAGTACCTTAGATTGTATTTATCTGGTGTTTTTATGATATGTCTGAGTATTTAGGTCTTGCTGTTTCTGCTTCTCCCCCAAACCATGAAAGCAGCTGAGGGCTTCAGACCATGAAGGCACAGAGCTATATTTACTGATATTCATTCAATTTGTTGCAAGTCAGCCTTAAAAAAATTCTAGTCCCTGACTCACCTCAAGCAAGTATTTTTTTTTTTATTGGGCTTGATGGAAAGGTGATTTTGTGCCTGAGATAAGCAATATTCATGGGCAGTTTTGCAAAAATGATAAATGCCACTTCAGCTTTAAATCATCATGGGCAATCTTAGTCTCAGACCTATTTAAGTATTTTTGAATTGAAATATGCAAAAAATTAAGTTGCATTACTTAAAATATATTCCTTGTTCTCAATTACAAAAACAAAAGGGGGAAAGAGAGAAGTAATCACATCTCTTTTCCTCCCTTGATACAAGAGCCATTTTAATAGTTATAGACATGAATGAGCCTACAAGGCTCCAGTAAACTAAAAAAAAACAGCTGAGACTCCTAATTTCTTCAGTTCCTTATGTTGAGCTCTCCTTTGAGACTGAAGAGTGCCTATAAACATGGCCCAACACATTCTAATTAGAACGCATTGGAGCAGACTCAATTAGTCGAGTCTGCTGGAGTGTTCTAATTAGAACAGCGTGCCTCACTGTCACATGTGTTAAGTGTCCTGCATTTCAAAATGGCCAGGTGGGTGCTTTAATTAAAACTCATTGAAAGAGCTTTAGTTAAAGTGCCCCTTGGCCATTTTGAAACATGGGGTGATTAATATACATGACACTGCAGCATTTTAATTAGAGTGGCTGTCTGGGAGATGCTCTAATTAAAACACAACCCCTTCCACCCCACCTCAAAGCACATGTATAGACACCTAAAGTGTCAGTCAGCCTTCCACTTTTCTTACCCTGCATCACAGCCGTCACACAGCAGCAGGCGGTCTTCTCTGTCACTTCTACCACACACCTCACAAAAGGTTGGATCATCTTCATCACCATCATCATCCTGAACTTTTGTAGTCTCCACAGGAATCTAAACCAAAGATGATTTTCCATGTGAAGTAGAAGCTGTTTTTTCTCTCAACCTACCATTTCACTAGCAATAGCAGCAGTAAAACCTGATAGTGGACCACTGTAATGACTGCCCATTCTGCCATACCAGCACTGCAATTTAATTCATGCACTGATTCAAGATTATCAATGTACGGGGTGAACAATGCAACTTCTATCTACTTTCTTTTGTGTGGCGATCAGCAGCAATAGAGAACTGCCAATTAACTCAGTGAGGCCAACATTCTAAGTGAGAATGAGAGCAGACACAAAAGAAACAAATGGATAAGAAAACTTCAGTTTAGATGTTTCTGACTTCCTTGACATTGGTGGGTCATGACAATATGCCCTTAGGAACCATACAAATAACCGTTAAGCTGCTCAACAGGAAACATGGTCTTAGCATTACAACTAGATAAGGATACAGCTAGATAAGGAACATCTACTGACATCAAGCCAATAAAAGCCTACCTTTTTTAGGATTTTACCACCAAGCTGTGCCCGAATATTAATGTATTTGAACAGGATTCGATCCACTGGACAGGAGTTGGCATTCTGAAAGAAACAAAATGTTGTTTTTCTATCTGGGTTATAGAGCACAGTACTCAACTAAATTGAAAAAAAAAAAGTGTCTCCTCTTCCCTGCCATGTGATCAACATGGTACCTGCCACAATAGCCAGAAGTCTCAACATTTACATTTTTTTAAATCCAGTTTCCTGGATCTCTCTCTTAGCTATTACAAGTTGCATCAAGAGCTGCCAGATAGAAGTAGGGAGTTTTACACAAGAATGTACTAAAGGACCAAGTTATTTCTTCATCATTTTAAATGCATACCCACATATAATTGTCAAAGTAGTATGATCCTTCTGCCAAATATTTTCTTTCAAGTTTGCATGTGTATTTAAGATATGCTGAAAAGATGAAAACTACTTAAACAATCTATCAATGATCTGAAATGTTTAAAATGTTACCAAGAATATATATTTTTTAAACATTCTGGATTACAGCAACCTGAATCCAGTTAGTTTTGCTATCAGTTATCAAGCAGCTTATGCTAGCAGCTTTGGGTAGACAGTTGGGCTAGTCAGTATTCTTCTGGACTTTCCCTTGTTCAAATATCTGTATTACTCAAGGCACCAGCATGTAGGGCCTTATCCCACAGAAATTCCATTGAAATAAGACTTCTCTACAGAGCTGCAATAAGATTAGGTCCTTATTTTGAATGAAAGACTCAAAATGTGTAAGGAATCATCTGCTCACCAAGCAGCAACCTGCATAAGAGACTTAGGATCAAAAGTCTCAGCTTAGCTGCCTAGGGAGAAGAAGTACTCTGTCATGTTGTAATAATGACTGCTTGGGAATGGTATTCTTTTTGGCCTTTGCTGAAAAAAGAACAAAATGGGATGAGTGGGAAGGGGAAAAGAACAACCCTCTGCAAAATATAATCCCTGACAAATAAAGTAGAAAACTTTTTGAAACATGTCAAGGGAGGAATCAGGTTTGAATATTCTACCTACAAGCTGACCTCTTTATCATAATTCCATAGCTGTATATCAAGATAAAGGAACAGAATGTCCAGAAGAGAAAGAGTTGAGCTGTTTCACATTTGTTTTCCATATGAAAAAGGACTTACTTTAGACCACTCCACTATACAGTCTAAGCAGAAGTAATGGGCACAGCTCTCTGGAGTTCCAACTGCCTGACCCCTAAAGGTATTAAGGCAGATTGGACAGTTTTCACCATCTTCATCAGAGGAAACACTCTCTCCATTTGTCTGTGGTATTGCTTTCAAAGCACCTGTGGTTTCACCAACAGCAGTTTCCAGTTCTTCTTCCTCAGCATAGTCATCCTCCTCATCATCCTCATCATCTTGAAAACCAAGGGAGAGAAAAAAAATGTTAAGTACATAGCAGGGTTTTTAAGAGAGAGAAAAATACAAGCCCTGAAAGGAGTCTGACTGTAGCTGGATTTTTTAAGAAGGGGAGAACTAGGGAGTGAAGGACAGGAAGATGGACAGATGGAGACACCACACACACTCTGAATGCCACAATCTAGTGATTTTTTCTTCCTAATTTTTAATGCCGCTCTACTTTAAAGAAGTGTTAGAGTCCTCAGAGGAAAAGGATGCTATTGATATCTCTTGGAAACTAGAGTTGTGACTAGTATCACAGCAAGTTAAAAAGACAGTCACCAGACAAGCAGCATATATTTTCAATGATGGAAAAACAAAGGCAGACATTTCTTTATTCAGAAGGGAAAGAAAAAGCATAAAGTAAAGTCAGTCTTGTAAAAAGTTCTCAATGCTTTTTTAAGATATTGTTCCTGGCTACTTCGCCAGCACTCTCAAAAATATTTGGCTTTCCAGGAAATGAAACAGGGCTATCATGTTTTTGTATGGTATTTTTCACCATCAGGGGTGAGTATTTTAAAAAGGACAATTAATAACATTTTGGGCATGCAGTTGTAATGTTCTAATTTGAGCACAAATAAACATCTTTAGATTGATTTAGAAAACACTACTCCCTTCACAAAGAAGTTCAAGATGTGCTGTATACATAAATCCTATCTGAATCTACCCAAATGCCAAATGAACCCTGCAGTTTCAGAACCACACTAATCACCATGACCAGACTATATATACTTCTGTCATAATTACAAAAATCTGTCTCTCTCAATTCAATTAAC